AGACCTCCAAAACAACAAATGTTGAGACATTTGAATCAGCTTCTATTTCCTCTCAGATGTCTTTCAAGCTTATCTCTTTTTATCCTTGCTGTCATTTGAAGTTATTTCTTAATTTAATTTCTAGTTTACCAATTTTACATGTAAATAAGTCCGGTCTTCTACTTATCCTATCTATTGAAATGTTTTGTTATTGTTGTTTATTTTAATAATTATATTTTCCTTTAACAAGGTCTTGATGTGGTTCTTTGCAAAATTTCTGGTTCTTTTGCAAAATTTCTCCTTCTTGATTCATTGTCACTGTTCTTGCTACATCATTTACTATTCTTGCTTTATAGATATGATTGCATACTTTATCTCTGTGTAGACTATATATATGAGCATTTAAAGTTTTTTCAGATTATGATGCTAACATTTCCATAAGAATAAATTTTTCTTTTGTTGAGAATATGACCTCCTTTCATAGGCTGTTGTCTGATGGCTGTGATGTAATCTGCTGGAAAATAGCTGTGCCTTAATTGATTAATTAATTGATAGTATACAACTGACAAGGTGAGAAGTGATGTTCTGACCGTGCAACTAGGCTACGTTGTGTGGCATTGCTTCACCCTTGACTTTGGAAGGAAGGAGTAGGGAGAAAGTAAGAGGGAGGAAATTGTGGTTTTTAGCTCCCAGGTTTGAATGGCATTGAACACCAATGTCATGAATTCAGTAACATCTCAACCATCAGAAAATCTGTGTACAATTTGCCCTTGCTTATATCTGTATTTTCCTTAATATTTTCTTATTCATGTAAATTTTCTTTTTGTCTGTCTTTCAGCATTATGTCTTATGAGACTACTTAATATATATTAATTTATGCTTATTTAGATCCTTAATTACCAGGAATATATTGAAGCTGTTCAAATATCCCTATGGACGCATCATTTACCAAATCTCTTTAATTTTTTGTACAGCTTCTTGCTTGCCCTATATTATCTCACTGCTTCAGGCAAATGTGATGTGGAATAGTTACCACTGATTGTTTTCAACAAATACCCTGGGGAGAAGATTCTTTCCACTGTTTTAGTGTGAGCACTGAGTCAGGGTAAATAAAGAAAACCCCTGTGATTTTAACTGCCAGGCAGATCAACTCACTAAAATTTCTCTGGTCATGGGATTCCTACACAATTTACCTTCACTAGTTGCTGCGAGGCTGCCGATTTTCACAGTCAGTAAGGTTACAAAGCTGTTGGTTTCCAGGCCACTGCAAAGCTGGACAGAAGAAATTTGGGACAGAAGTTAAAATGTGACAAAACTCAACTATTTGTATTCTTTAATAACTGCTCTTAAGATTGTTGTAAGCCTTTGGTTAATTTCTAAATTTCTGAAAAAGTTGATTTTCACAGTTTCTGACTATGCTTTCATTACTTTTTCTATTGTTTGATGAATGGTTCTAATAAATACTAACCACTGCAGTGAGTGTGTTGGTATTATTTGAAAATCAGTTGAGTCTGGTGTGTTTCAGATTGTTTTATGCTGATCCTTATCAATATAATTATCTTACAGTCAAATTTATTTATAAATTACGTTTCTACTAAGAATACTATTTCTAGATTCTAACCAATACCTGACAAATATCTCTACACACACATATATATACCTGTATATGTATATATATATTTAATTTTATTTATTTATTTTTGGCTGTGCTGTCTACTTATATTTTATGTATATTTAACTTTATTAAAATTATACCATAATCATTAAAATTATCGATTACACTGTATTATAATTTCATTTGTTGATTTTTTTATGCATCTTTTATACCATATTGAGAACATTGTCTGAAGCTTGTCTGGTATTTTAGAAAGAATGAGGTGTATATATTCTAATAGTGCACTTATTTATTCACTCTTGAAAGCAGTCATTAATTAAAAAATGAGCAGTGATGCAATTTTCTAACCAATGGCAAGAGACATGTCTGTTCAAATACATACACAGAGATAGCAAGAGAACCTCTATTCCAATATTTTTTTAAAAACTGTATTATAACCTGCCTGAAAAGTTAATCTGCTCACAGTACATAATAAGTTTAATTAAGTTGCTTCTTAGTATAGTTTCTATTTGAGTCAAACAGTTGTAGAATTCTTGAAACAGCTTCATAAAATTTCAGGTTTCCAAGAAACACAATTGTGAGTCCTGAGACCATTTTTCTTGTTTTCTTGTGAAATCCTCCAAGTGAATACATAGCCATAAGGGTAAATATGGAAACAGAGAAAAGGTAAGTAGGACAAAGTTTTTAAAAAATTACTGAGATAAAAAGTAAACACCTAAGTGCTGCAATTGAAATGACCAATTCAGATGGTGTCTTTGTAAATATCACCCAGGCTCCCAAAGTAGAACTAATAGCTGTTTGCTCTTTCCATATTACTTTTTTCACAACTCTATCTTGCTATGAATCACTGCCTTCTTTGTAGTATAGAATAAGTTATCTCCCTTATAAGACTGTGAGGACTTCACAGGAAAAACCTATTGTTAGGTGTATTTTTAATGCTCTATCTCTAATAAATAGCAGAGGTGGTACTCTAGGAATATTTGTAGGATTAAACAATAAATACATATATACTTGATAAAGGTAATTCAATAATTCTTTGCTAAAAATTAAGAAATTTACAGTTAAAGACTGTCTTACAGCTATGAAACTCATGCTTAAACTTTAATATAATTTCTCCTATGAATAACCTACTTTTTCTATATCAGTGACTGTAATACTGTAGAAAAGCATTTTCATTTATAAGCATGACATTTGTGGGAATGAAGGTTGGGTTAACTGGTGGAGGTGATGATGACCTCGTGCTAACTAATTTGAAAATTTTTTGTGATTTGTGGTTCTGACAATTTAGAATGAGATATTCACAGAAGAAAGCTTTTAATTAATAACTTTTTCTAGAGTCAGAAATATATTAACTGTAAAAGAAAATTATATACAAATTGAAGAATATATAATATAATTAAATTACCTTCAAGGTCCCTCCTAAATTATGAATATTTGTTTTAGGTGTCTTATATTAAATGAAAACTAAGTTCAACTTAAACTGTATTTAGTAGAATTTTTAAGTAACTGGAATCTGTGGGATTTGGGAAAAGAGGAAGGACACTGGAAGAGTGAATTATATTCCCTTCTTAGAAGGTCAGAAATTGACTGTTTAACCATAAAATTTTAGGCTTACATGAAGCTAATTATGGGGGTGGGTGAAGGGACTATAAGTTGGTTTGGGTAGATTGATAAAATTGGATTTACTATATTAGAGAAACAACCGGTCCATTGTATGTTAAGACAAATTCTCGGCCATCTTCACTTCAGATTTGTTAAACTTTATTGTAACAACACAACAGTGATAAAAATTCATAATATACTGAGCTTCCTTTGTATGACCAGCACTCTGCTAAACATTTACTGCTATCTTCTTTAGTCCTTATTATTGTAGTCAGTGAAGAAAGCTGAGCGCTGAAAAATTGATGCTTTTGAACTATGATGTTGGAGAAGACTTTTGAGAGTCCCTTGGACTGCAAGGAGATCCAACCAGTCCATCCTAAAGGAGATCAGTCCTGGGTGTTCATTGGAAGGACTGATGCTGAAGCTGAAACTCCAATACTTTGGCCACCTGATGCAAAGAGTTGACTCATTGGAAAAGACCCTGATGCTGGGAGGGATTGGGGGCAGGAGGAGAAGGGGACGACAGAGGATGAGATGGCTGGATGGCATCACCGACTCGATGGACATGGGTTTGGGTAGACTCCGGGAGTTGGTGATGGACAGGGAGGCCTGGCGTGCTGCGGTTCATGGGGTCGCAAACAGTCAGACACAACTGAGCGACTGAACTGAACTGAACTGAACTGATTGTACTCAGTCGTGTCCAACTTTTTGTGACCCCATGGACTATAACCTGCCAGGTTCTTCTGTCCATGGAATTTCCCAGGCAAGATTACTGAGTGGGTTCCCATTTCCTTCTCCAGGGGTTCCTCCCCACCCAGGGATAGAACCTGTTTCTTGAGTCTCCTGCACTGATAGGGAGCTTCTTTAACGTTGCACCTTCTGGGAAGCCTTCTCTAGTCCTTACAAGCTGACACTGGAGAGTAGTTCTTGTCTTTCATTTGACAATTTTCTTTACAACTGAGTAGCTACTCTTTCCAGGAGAGAACCGTACTGAAGGGAAAGTTGCTGGTCTCACTTCCATCCTGCCCTTTCATTCACTTTTCCTTATGGGAAGAGAAATCATATCTCTAAGCAGTGAAACTAGGGGGACTCATGTGAGGATAGTGTCTTCTGAGGACTTCGTGCTTCTCTTGTCCTGTATGGAAATTACTAAAACTATTCCAACTGCTTTGTTTAGTTGAGAGTAATACACTACTTAATTTTGACTTTAGAATTTAATCAGTATTTTCTGATCTAGATTACCAAGATGAAAACAGATATTCTAAAGTCTAACTTACTCCTGGGAATATCTTCTATTTAAATCTAATTTTAAATAATGGTTATAAGTAGCTACATTTTAGGACCAGAAAAACTGAGGCATAGAGAGATTAAATCATGCTTAAGGTCATCTAACTTATAAAAGGTAAGTTGGTATTTAAAATACGGATCTCTCTGTACTTCTTGCTTTCATGTGCCTTTTGCAATCCTTCCACTCTGCCATCCTTGCCCTTCAGGCCAAACCCTCTAGAGAGAAAATTGGAGCCTATGAATGTATAACATGTGCCTATACATAAATGCACTGTGAAATTGCCATTTCCAGAGTGTGCTGGCATAAAACTGTAACTATTGTTAAAAATGACCAGATTATAAAATAATTATATGAACATGGTGCCTTTTGTCCAGGTGAACATGTAAGTCGTTTAGTCAATTCTAGTAGCCCTTCATTATACTACCTTATGAGTGAATAAATACTATACCACGTGTAGACTAGCGCGTCCTATTCTCAGGAACTAATCTGACTCATACTGTTGAATCATATTTGCAGTAAGATGATTTGGCGGCAGCGCTTCACAGTGGGTGAAGAGAGACTAGAATTGTGGTCCTCAGTCCTGTTTCCTGTCCTATGGGAATCAACCGAATGCATTCCCACTGTGGTCTCCAGAAACAGAGCGATGGCATATGGACGTGGTTCAGAGCAGCAGAGGTTACATATTATAAGACATAAGAAGGGACTAGGACCTGCTATCCTGGAGGTAGGTAAGTTGAAGTAGTGTGTCTGACCTGAGAAAGGGGTTGAAAGACCTTAGACAATGAGGACAAAGTTGCGAGTGGGGCATGGAAGGGAATATGGAAGGGAATATGGAAGGGAATATGGAAGGGAAGGGGGAGATTGGTTTAGGGAAGTTATTAATAGGAAAAGGCTGAAGAATAATAGTGCTAATTTAATTTCATTATTTTTTTTTCTACCTACAGAATCATTAGCCCACTTTCCACCTTTCCTTCTACCTAACCAGGGAATTAATGAACCTCTTCTACCCTGGAGTTGCAGGAGGAGGCACAATAGAGGTTATTTTCTGCTCGGGGTTTCAGAATACATCTGTCACAGCAACAATAACAAACATATTTACTAAGGACTTAAACTGTGTAACATTCTGAGAAGGTCTTCAGGATTTAATTTTATTTGATCGTCACAAAAACCTTGAGATAGGTGCTGTTATTATATTCAGTTTATAGATGAGGAAACTGAGAGAAAGAAACCTTAAATAACATGTTTTAGATCACATAGCCAATAAATTACTTGGTGCGCCAGGCGTCCTGATTCCAGGTTCTATATTATTAGCCATTATGTATTACCTCCTCGGAAGAAGAAATCACTGGGATAAAATATGAGTCTTTGTAGTTGCAAGTCTTATCCTTTGGGATAGTACAAGCAAAATTCACTATGGAGGCAAGGTATGTCAAAGATTGAAGTGAAGAGTGTGACTTCTTTCTTGACACTACCAGTTGAGATAAGAGCTCTTCTCTATTTTCTGGGACCTTGTGTGACCCAAGTTGAAAGAGTGAGCAACAATCCAGAAATATCACTGATATGAAAATTTTTGAAGTAATCATGGTAAGTGGGGCTCAAATCACTTATAAGAATAATAAAGCAATGTGACACTTATGAAATACAAAATATTCTGGAGAAATTATTATCTATTACATTATCTAGTAGTATCTAGTAGTATATTATCTACTAGTATCTATCACATTAGTAGTGAAGGATATACATACAGCAGATCCTCCTCCAGTCTCCATACTGAGATTTTGCTCTGCCTTTGGAGACCTAAGAGATTGTGTGTGTTGTGTGTGTTAGGTTCTCAGTCCTGTCTGACTTTTGTGACCCCGTGTACTGTAGCCCACCAGGCTCCTCTATCCATGGAATTCTCCAGGCAAGAATAGTGGAGCAGGTAGCCATTTCTTTTCCAGGGCATCTTCCCAACCCAAGGATTGAATCTGGGTCTCCTGCGTTGTAGGCAGATTGTTTACCTTCTGATCCACCAGGGGAAGCCCTGAGTTCATTATACTAGGCCACGATTTTCTGTGCTTCCCTTCCACATCCTATTGGCACGTCACTAAGCAAGATGTTAAATTCCAATGGAGTCTGGTTATGAAGAGAAATGCAAGGAGTAAATCAGAAAACAAAGTAACTATCTGTGACGTGATTTTCTCAAAGGTCCTAGACATGACCCTTCAGTTCAGTCACTCAGTCGTGTCTGACTCTTTGTGACCCCATGGACTGCAGCACGCCAGGTTTCCCTGTCCATTCCCAGAGCTTACTCAAACTCATGTCCATCAAGGCAGCGATACCACCCAACCATCTCATCCTCTGTCATCCCCTTCTCTTCCCACCTTCACTCTTTCCCAGCATCGGGGTCTTTTCCAATGAGTTAGCTCTTCGCATCAAGTGGCCAAAGTATTGGAGCTTCAGCTTCAGCATCAGTCCTTCCAATGAATATTCAGGACTGAACTCCTTTAGGATGGACTGGTTTGATCTTCTTGCAATCCAAGGGACTCTCACGAGTCTTCTCCACCACCACAGTTCAAAAGCATCAATTCTTCGATGCTCAGCTTTCTTTATAGTCCAACTCTCACATCCATACATGACTACTGGAAAAACCATAGCTTTGACTAGATGGACCTTTGTTGGCAAAGGAATGTCTCTGCTTTTTAATATTCTGTCTAGGTTGGTCATAACTTTTCTGCTAAAGAGCAAGCATCTTTTAATTTCATGGCTGCAGTCACCATCTGCAGTGATTTTGGAGCCCCCCAAAAATAAAGTCTCTTTCTGTTTCCATTGTTTCCCCATCTATTTTCCATGAAGTGATGAAACCTGATGCCATGATCTTAGTTTTCTGAATGTTGAGTTTTAATCCAAACTTTTTACTATCTTCTTTCACTTTCAACTAGAAAGTTCAAACCCAGGTTGATGTCCCTACTCCATATCTTTTCAGAGGGTAGCTAGAGAATGCTCCAGTGGTTAAAAATGGGAACACAAACTCTACAGTGAACTTCACATGCAAGCTTAAAATAAGAAAACAGGTATTAGAGAAAAAATCTATTGTAGCATGGGCCCCAGCCCCCAGATCATGGACTGGTAGCAGTCTGTGGCACAGCAGGAGGTGAGTGGCTGGCAGCAAGCAAAGCTCCATCTGTGTTTACAGCCACTCCAGATCACTTGCATCTCCACCTGAGCTTCACCTGCTGGCAGATCAGTGGTGGCATTAGATTCTCACAGGAGCACAAACTCTACTGTGAACGTCTCATGCAAGCAATCTAGGTTGTGAGCTCCTAATGAGACTCCTGAAACCATCCTACTACACAGGTCTGTGGAAAAATTGTATTCCACTAAAGTGGTTCCTAATTGGAGAAGGCAATGGCACCCCACTCCAGTACTCTTGCCTGGGAAATCCCATGGACAAAGGAGCCCGGTAGGCTACAGTCCATGGGGTCGCTAAGAGTCGGACACAACTGAGAGACTTCCCTTTCCCTTTTCACTTTCATGCACTGGAGAAGGAAATGGAGACCCACTCCAGTGTTCTCACCTGGAGAATCCCAGGGACAGAGGAGCCTGGTGGGCTGCCGTCTGTGGGATGGCACAGAATCGGACACAACTGAAGTGACTTAGCAGCAGTAACAGCAAAGTGGTTCCTGGTGCCAAAAATGTTGGAGACTGCTGTATTACAGGGCTTAAAATTGAGGTTACTACCACCTTCAATGATGAAAGTACAGAAATGAGGTCCTTGATCATAAGAAGAGAAAACAATGTGTTCTACGTCATCCTTTATGCAATTGAAGATTAATATAGGTGATGTGATTTCTCAGCAGAGTGATAGACGATGAGGTTGAAGAGGTAAGCTTGGGTTAAAACCTGGAATGTCATGATAAAAAATATGGGATTTATCTAAACTGTGATGGGGGTTTCCGTGGAGTATTTCAGTAGAATGGTGATGTTGTCTGATTCATAATCACTTGGGGATACTACAAGGAAAATTCCTCTTAGAGATAGAAGTGCAGGGACCAGTTGCAGCATCCCTGGTGTTTGGAAGGTCATAGCTTGCTGTAGGACTGTAGCAGTAGAAAGTAAGAAGTGATGGGGTTTAGTATTTATCATAGTAAATGAATGAATGCAAATTTTGTGTCATTGGGTCATAGGAACATACTACATACACTTAGGAATACCTCTGATAAGGGTAGTCATGGAGTGCTTAGGTGTTGGGATATCCAAACACTAGCAGTTTCATTCCTTTGAGATCAATTTGGGCTGAGGAGTAAACCCTTTTCTGCTTTTTTGCTGAGTTTCCTTCAGGACTAGGAAGAGAAACTTAAAATAAGAAAACAGATCTTAGAGAAAATTGTTGGAATTAGACAAGGAAAACATGGTAAAACATTTAACATCCTGCATTCTGACTGTTTGGCAATGGCCTCTTTAAAAATTTACAGAAGACATCTGTACAAAAGACCTTTTTACTGCTTCTCCTTGCATGGAAAGTTGGGTAGCAATCTGCAACACACACACACACACACACACACACACACACACACACACACAAATAGTTGTTTCTAGTACATGTTCTTTTTTTTCTTGCAGTAACAGAAACCTCCAAGTTCAAGTTCAGCTACATCTATCCAGCTACAGACTATATTTCCCAGCTTCTCTTGGAGACCAGTCTAGATACATGGCTACATTCTGGCTCATGGAATGTGAAGGTGGGTTATGTGTGCAACCCTACAAGCAATCACAACTCCAGAAAGAAGTTGCTTACCATTCATTTCTTTTTTCTACTCTTGGCTCAAATTGAAACATAGAAATTATGGTGTGAATTCACTGTAATCATATAGAAAATTCCAACTGAAGACAGGACAAAGCGGCAGGATGACATCTGCATCCTTGTATGACTTCATAGAGAACTACTCTGATTGCCCCTCCATCTGAGGCTGTTACACGAGAGAGGATAATATTCTTCCACTTTTGCTTGAAGAACTGTATTGTAAGGTCTCTTAAAGCAGCACAGACGATGTACTACCTAATACATAATTATTATATATTGCAAGAAGTATAATTTAAAATTTAGGCAACTTATTTCTACTATCATTTAAAGAGTAGTTATCTTTGTAGTTTATATGTTTCTACTTTTTCTTAAGTTTATGAATCTTATAATTGTAGATGACTTGCAAAGCTGGATCTCTTTCCCACATCATCTACATGATATTGAGGGCTGCATTTGATGCACCCCCAGAATAGAAAAGTGTGCCCTTCAAATTGCATGTAATTAGAATCAATAAAATACTGAAATTATTACCTTCAGAAGTAACATTCTAAAATATGATTTGTGGATATATTGCTGATGAGAATTTGGTTTTTCTGAAATCTTATTAAGAACACTAAAATGTAACTAGTGAATTTATGACCTAATTAATTGTTATGTGCCAAATAGAACTTTGGTGCTTAAAAGGGATATAAATGTTTTAAAGAGGACAGCAGCATGAATTTGTCCAGTAGAGTGGTATGGTCTTGCAGAGTGGCAGGCAAAGGCAAATGTCACAGTGGCAGCTGGTATAGACACAGAAACAAACTTTACTGGGGAAATTTATAATTAGAGGAACAGTACGATGAAGCATGTTGTCCCTTACGTTCTTATTTTTCCTTGGAGAGACATACATAGTGAAACAGCAAGAGGAAATTGCAAAGAATGCTTCTGTAGGAATGGGACTCTGTCACCACCATATTCTGTTTCTAGGACTGCGCGAGAAGGGCCTTGCAGATGTTTCGTGAGGGATGGCAAAGTTTATAGATTAGCTGTCAGCTGTTCAGGGGAAGGTTTCACCCAAAGACCGGAACACTGATTGTTCAAAACTGTTGTTCACACAGCAAAGGTAAATCTGGATGCCCTGTGGGTGACTGATATCTTTGTAGGCCTTTCCAGTAGGGTGAAGGGGAGGTTTTTCTTTCTATCATATTCATTCCATATACTGAAATATGCACATATTAGCACATGTATCCATATACTCCCAACTTCTATCATCTAAACACCAGAATTTTCTTAATTATTTTTATCCTGGCATTTTTAATACCTATTAATATCTTTTTATCCTGAAGTGATTAAAATAAAGATTCTAGATTTATGTCTTGGTTGGTTTAATTTCAACATGATATATATACATGTGCATACATGTATATATATTTTCCAGTAGCTTCACATCCGTGTTATATTTCAGTATTGATATTCTTTTTAAAAGCACTTTTACTTATACAAGCTGAGTTTTAATTCTTACATGTGAATGCGTTAGTTTTCTGCCTAATACCTTTGTCTGATACTCAGTAACTTCATCATGTCTTGTTTTTTGGAACAGCACTATTTTTTTCCTAATGAACTCAGCTCTTGTTCACTTTATTTGCACCTGTAGATTGCTTTTCATTGGAGGATAATTGCTTTACAATGTTGTGTTAATTTCTGCTGTACACTGAAGTGAAGCCTCCATCTGTGTACACATCCTCCCTCCTTCTTGAGCCTGCCCTGCGCCACCTCCATCCCACCCCCCCCCCAGCTCATCACAGAGCACCACGCCGAGCTCACTGTGTTATTCAGGAGCTCACCGCTGGCTATCTATTTACATGTGGTAGTGTATACATGCCAGTCCTACACCCTGTATTTGTCTCACCATCCCCTTCCCCACCTCTGTCGATATGTCCGTTTTCTGTGTCTATGTCTCCATTTCTGCCTTACAAACAGGATCATCTGTGTGATCTTTCTATATTGCATACATATGCATTAATATGCGATACTTGTTTTCTCTTTCTGACGTACTTCAATCACTCTATGATAGACTCTAGGTTCACCCAGATCACGACAAATGGCCCAGTTTTGTTCCTTTTTATGGCTGAGTATTATTCCATTGTATGTATGTACCATATCTTTATTCATTCATCTTTAGTTTGTTTCCATTCATTAGGTCATGGCTATTGTAAATAGTGCTGCAGTGAATATTGGGGCACATATGTCTTTTTTGAAGTATGGTTTTCTCAGGGTATATGCCCAGTAGTGGGATTGCTAAGTCATATGATAGTTCTATTTTTAGTTTTCTAAGGCATCTCCATGCTGTTCTCTATAGTGGTTGTATCAGTTTGCATTACCACCAGCAGTGCAATTTTTTCTGCTCTATATACTGTTTTCTTCTCCATTTACCCTCTTTCTTCTCCATATTTTACATCTCCTATTGATTTTCCCATATCTACTATCTCTTTCTCATTATTTTCACTTTCTTGGTTCCTTTTTAGGTATATTAATTTAGACATGCTTTGCTCTGTATAGTGAAAATGGCCCACTCAGGTATTTTTTTGTTTTCCCCTTTGTCCGTCCACTTCTCTTAACATTCTTCCTTGTTCCATAAATGTGTCTTTATTTGAGTCTCCCAGGTGTCTGCTATTTGAATCAAGGTAAATCTGTAATTGTTAAAGACCTTGATAAATATGTATCATCTCTTGATATACTTTATTAGTTTGGTCCAAACCATATTTTCGTAACAAACAACTTTCAGAGAAACTATTTTTTTAATTATATCATTTTCCTAATTGCCTGGTAGATATTCTTTTCTCTTTGTATCCATCTTGGTAGCCTTTTCATGGGAAAAATAGAAGCAGCATGAACTTTGTCATATTTTACCAAATATCTCTAATTTAAATTTTTTTCAAAAGTTCTTTACCTTTAGACATAGTCAGTAAAGCCAATGAAGTCTTAATTCCCATGAAAGAGAATTTACCTGAGACAGACATCCCACAATGCCATATTTAGTTGACTAGTGGAGAAAGAAAAATTAAGAAATAAAAGAGGAAGTATAGTCTTACCATATAATCAGCTTACCTAGAAGTATTTTCCCAGTGATTAAAAATCTAAGTATTTTCCTAATGATTAAAAAATTATGTTTATGTAAAAAACCTGCAAGGTGAGTAGATAAACAGACTGCAGCACATTTATACCATGCATTAGTATTGAATGATAAAAATATATGAGCTATCATGTGATGAAAAGACATGGAGGAAACTTAAATCATTTGGCTCAGGCTGACGAACAATGATTACAATTATATGACATTCTGAAAAAGAAAAACTATAGAGACAATAAAAAGATCAGTAGTTTCTGGGGGTTGGGAGTAGAGAAGGACTGAATAATAATCAAAGTACAGGAAAATTTGAAGATGGTGGAACTATTCTATGTGATACTATAATGGTAGATACACGACATTATGCATGTATCAAGCATGTAAAACTTTACAGCCAAAGAAGAAACCTTAATTTATGCTAATTTAAAAATATTATTTAGGAGGTCAAGGTTCTGAGGACAGAATTCAGACTGTGACAAAAGATTCTAACTGTATTACAAATGTATAAAATAGCATCCCTGAAGGGGCTGTTGTGAAAAGATTCTATCTGAAATAATTTTGGAAATGAACTGTGTCTGTAAGACTGAAGGTAAAAGAAAGCACTGTACTGATAAAGCTGATAAAGTTATTTCCTCTAGGGGTATGAATTAACAATCCTAATATGGTCATACATGTATAATGAAATAGAACAATTAAGCAAATGTATGGAGGAGGGTAATTGCTTATTTTGGAATTGGAGTTTACAAATAATTGAAGGGAGGAGGCTAGAACGATCTATGCAGTGATGGTTTAGATTTGAAGCCATCAGTAAGAACTCACATTTAGTTTAATATAGATGCACATGGTGACATAAAAATATTTTAGGTAAAGTTGATTCTTGTTTGCCATGACAGTTATGTTCTATAAAGTTACTCTGAACATTGAATTAGCAAATGCTGAACCATCCCTCTGAAAGGAAATATAGGGTGAGATTCCTATAAGCCTCTGGTCACAACATTTTTGACAAGTCATCAATACATAACCTGTTTTGTGTGTGATTCTGTTTAAAGACATCTTATTTAATATATACTGTTGACTCTTTAGTGTTGAACTCACAGCCAACAACAGTATAATTCATGCCTGAGTGAAGCTTATCTAACAGTAGTGTTTTCATCATGAGGGACATGACAAACTTCTTGGATTTAGGAACACTAGAAATCACTTTAGCATGACACTTGAGGATCAGATTAAACAGTGCAATCTCTAAGTAAAGAAGAAAAACGTGAAAACATTGCATAAATAGACCATAAGAAGGACTTTTTCTTACATTATAAGAGCTGAATCAAGGAGGCAGAGTGTCCTTGTTTGACCTCAGCTGGGATATGCATGTGACTCAAAGTTTTTACTGTCCTGTGATGTCTATAAATGACTGTGAAAGTGCAATGAGTATTGAATTCGGGATTAAAAATAAATTTTAGCAAATATGAAAATACACAAATAAAGGAGATCTGCTATGGTTTACACATACATGTTAGTGTGCACCACATGTATTTCTTTGCTCTACCAGCTGAAAGAGTCCAAAAGAAATGACCCTCCTGTAGTAACAAGTAAGCTAGTGCCCAGATCTTGGTTTCTTAATACCATTTCCAATGACTGGAACCAGGGCTTCCCAGGGAAATATCAGCTTCTAAGATTGGGGCAGGAAATATGCAAGATGAGCCTATAGTATCTTGAAGTACCAGAAAGTAAGAATGTGGTAAAAAATTAAAAAAACCAAAAATACACATAAGCTAACCAAAAGAGCTTCTAAAGGAAATCAGTCCTGAATAGTCATTGGAATGACTGATGCTGAAGCTGAAACACCAATACTTTGGCCACCTGATTCGAAGCACTGACTCATTTGAAAAGACCCTGATACTGGGAGAGATTGAAGGCAGGAGGAAAAGGGG